TCGGTTGGTACTTCAGCAGGGAGTTTGAAAGTCACTCTTCGAGCAACTTTGGGGTGAGGGCTATCAGGTCTTCGCTGTTTGTATCTGCTGTCGAAACGCGGACCCATCTGGGCAGTTTCTTGATGGCTCCAGCAAGGGGCGAAGGGGATCCTTTCGAAGGCCCTAGCCATGCTTTGGTCATACACAGCAGAACATCTTGGGCACACCAAGCACTTAGTTGCCCCCTTGTAGCAGCGAAAAACAAACTCCAACAAACTCTCTCCAGCCTTGGGGTAGCATCTAAAAAGTTGGTTATCCTGGCGCCAATTGTTGCCAGTTCGAGCCCTCTGTACCCTTTCGAAATTTGCAGCAATTCTTTGGTTGCAGAGGATGCTGCACCTAGGGCACAGTATCATGCCTGGATCTCCTTTGTGGCATGACATGAGATAGTCTTTGAGAGTATCATCTCCAGTGTGATTGTCCCCCATCCTATGCTTTTCTTTTTCTAAGTATTTTTCCACTTCCTTCATCTCAGAACGGGGTCTTTCCATGTCCACCATATTTATTTCCAAATCCCCCTCTTTTGTTTCGTCATCGCCCCATCCTGTGGGCTTTATATCTTCGATCTGGACCCTCGAACTTTCTGGGGCAGAATATTTGACCAGATAGTCATATTTTCCACTGGGTTCCCCTAGAGTGTCCCATATTTCCTTCTGAGAGGGGACTGGCTGCGTAATTTGGACTTTCTCTAATTCCAACCTCAAGCCCTCAGTGACTTGTGTAAATCCTTCGTTGTGATCCCCTTGGCCTTCAGTAGCCTGGGTTTCTCCTGCAACAGCCACAGGTCCAGCAATCGAAGTGTCTGGTGTATTCTGGATGCCTTCAATGACTTCCTCGCTGACTTCGACCATCACCCAGTTTTCGACTCCAATGTCCTTCTCTCCTGTTAGGGTGTCGCTTCGATCAATTTCCACCATGTTGACTTCTCCAATGCATGCAGGCTCGGAGTAGTTGGTGTCTGCGACGTCCAAAGGATCTTCGTCCACTTTCATCTTCACCTTATCAGCAAACTTTAATCTGCCATCTTTGATTGCGTTTTGAATCAAATCCCTGAAAAGAAAACATTGTGAGGTCTTGTGGCCTAGGAAACTATGATATTTGCAAAATCCCCTTTTCTTCCTCTGGTCCAAAGGGGGTATTTTGACATTTGATGGCACAATTAGTTGGTCATCTTTGACAAGCAAGTCAAAGATTTCGTCACATTTAGTGACATCGAAGGTGTAAACCTTCTTTGGAAACTTATCACTTTTCTCATTTTCAACAATATCTTTCCCTTTCGTAGGAACTAACATTTTGCAGGAGTAAGGCGGGGCCTGTTTTAATTCAGCGAGGTCGATTTCGACCTCTTCGAATTCGAATTCAGGATATTCTTCTACTTCCTCAGTTCCAACATAGGAAATCCTTTCTTTCTTACTATTCTTAAAGACTCGGGCTTTTTCGGCTTTTAGTCTTTCGACCTGTCGAACCCTATCGGCTAACTGAGCCATATCCCTCAAATGCTGAGTATCTAATTTCTTTCGAATAGAGTAATCCAATCCCCCAGCGGCCATTTCGACTAACTCATGCTCAGGCACTACTGTGTAACATCTGGATTTTAACAGCCTAAATCTATTCAAATAGTCATCAATGGGTTCAGTGAACTTTCTCTTAACACTGGCCAATTCCTTCAGACTTATTTTCGATTGTCCCATGTAAAATTGTTCATGGAATAATCTCTCTAAAAGGGTCCAAGTGTCAACAGACCCAGGAGGCAACGTGGTAAACCAAGTGAAGGCATTTTTTGTCAAGGAACTTGGGAAATATTTGATTCTGAGATCTTCATTATTGGCTATATCCCCCGCTTCGGTTAAATATCTCGCTATGTGTTCGACTGTTGACTCGTTGGTATCCCCAGCGAACTTTGTAAATTTAGGGACTTTGTATCCCCTTGGTAAATCAGTATGCATTATACAATCTAATATAGGAGAAGCGTAATTTGGCCTCCTCATTCCCATATTGAGGCCGTTTTGGGTCATGATCCTCTCTATCATGGTGGTCAGATTATTTTCTGCCAAGATGTTATCGTTTCGAATCCTATGAACGACAGCATCGGCATCTTGGTTTCGACCAACCAAAACAACTCCCCTAGGTTGTTCTCCTCGAAATTCTGGGGCTTCTGGTCTTTCGATCCTTGCCCCTGGTTCCATAACTTCCCTTTGTGGGCCCGGAATTATTGGGGCTTCTAACCTTGGTGCTCTGGCCCCTAAGTTAACCTCTTCTCTGGGTGGTCTATGAATTGGGTCGTTGGCAATTTGTTCTATAACAGGCACGTTTGTTCGAAATCCCGCCTGGTTCTGCCTACGCCTTTCTGTGGGAGCAAAGAAATCTGCTATTCGACTCATATTGTCAGCGTTTTCCCTGTTCGTCACAGTCACATTCTGAACTATTGGGGCGAATATTTCCTGCATGGTTTGCGCTAACACCCCTATCATATTGTGGTTGCTGTCATCCATCAATTGCCTAAAAGCCAACTGGTTATCTGTGGTTAGGATAGGCAACGTGTTATAACCCACTGACCCTTGGTTATTTGACATAAATTGGTTTGCCCCAGACCCAGATCCTAGTTGTGGGGATGAATTCGATGTGGAATTGTGTAAACCTGCCATAAAAGATGTTGGCATTCCGTAAGAAGAACTTCTAATTCTATTCCCATCGAAGCCGGGTGGTCTAGTTGATGGAGTGGCGAAATGGGATTGTGTCCCAGGTGGCGGAACGAATCCCCCAGGGTAGCCCATAGTTCCAGTATTTCCTAAGATCGAACTGTTGGTTGATATGCCACTTACTCCGTTGGTGGCCATGTTACTGGTTGAAGATGCAATAGCCTGTGCATTCGAAGGGATTACATTAGATGCTCCGCTCGAAATGGACGCGTTAGTGCCTGTTGCCTGTGGGCCACCTTGGTCTCCCTGTTGATTGTCTGAATTAGACATTTTGTCCAAACGTTTTCTTCTGGATAAAGGTTGGTTGCTGTTGGTTATCTTACCACTTCTCAGGTTCATAAAACAGCAAACTTCTTAGGTTCCTACGTTTCTGGGATGGCTATGTCTCGACAATCCTTAATTCTGATATCCAACTATTGGTCCCACCAGGTGTGCCAATTTGTTTCCAGTGATTTCTGGTAAACAACCGCTAGTCTTCCAAACTATCGAATAATCTTTATTAACGCTACTCAATCTCTTTGGTAACTCACAGGATCGACTAGATTGATCCTAGGACTCCTTGGATATTAAGGTTACTCTCACAATCGAACAATTATTCATGGGTGCTATTGTACAAATGTTTGGTTTATTTCGATCCCTCTCTCTAAGAGTTTAAAAATGTGGTCAAAATGTATGTGAAAACTAAGTTATACGAATAATTGCTAATTGTAATGCTGATTGAAAAGACATATAAAACTGTATGGAAAATGAAGTAACTGGTTTCGACCCATAAAACATTTAACACAAAAGGTTTCTGGAATGTGGAAGTTTAAAATGTGAAGAAAGCGTTTAATGCAAGAAATCTAGAAATGACTTTAAGTGAAAGTACATGTTTGAAGAATAATACTTGAAAGTAAAGGTATTGAGAGCGTAAAAGTTCTCTGAAATATAGAGTGCTCGAAATATAAAGAAAGCAGTAAAATGTAAAACTTTGAAGAAAAGACTTTGAAATGAAAAGACAGTAGATAAAGAAACTTGCAAATGTTATTCGACGGAAAGAAAAAGAAGGAAAGTGCTGGAAATAGTAAAAAGGCTTTTATTAAATTAGAAATACATGGTGCTATCATACATACATTTCTCTTGCATTCGTTTCCCTTGCCATGTGGTAGTTTGAATGTTATTGAGTATTTTGTATAACAGATATGACACACTGAAATCCTAACACTAAGACTTCTATTTATACTAACTCGACCCTAACGGTCTCGCTACAAGATCATGCCACGTTTCGAACATGCAAGACAATGCTCCTTTCATCTTTCCACGTGTCCCCAAATGCTCCAACACATAACTTTCAAACTTTGAAAGTCCCGCTTTCATTTAAATTTTAAATGCTTTGGTGTTTCTCTGTTTCGAACGCTCTTCTCAGACCTAGCTTTGCTGCTGTTTCGAGACCCCTTTGGATACGCTCCCATGATCACCGTTCGAAGCTTCAAGCTTTGACACACTCATTCGAAACACTGCTTCTGCAATTTCGAAGCGTGGTGTTTTAATTCCATTTCGATCAGAACTTCTAGCTCTTTTTGAATTCTAAATAACACTATCAAAATCTTCAGCCAACATCTATTTCTGCGGAGAGCATCATCCAGGTAGGGGACCACGTGCAGGTCCCCACTACTCCACGTAGAACCTGACAGTCCCTTTGTTGGGCTTGTTTGATCAGCCCAATGAAGGGACATTGGCCCAACTCTGGGGGCTATAAATATCCTCTACTTCAAGAGGGTCAGATATTCATTCATTCACGCCTACATACTATTCGCCTGCTCATTCCGTCTCTCACTTTATCATCGGAGTGTCTTGCAGGTATCCTCCCCCACCTCCTTCAAATTCAGTTCGAACCAGCTGTGACGGTCCAATTCTGATCAGGTACGATCAGATTTTCTCAAATTTGATGGAAGATTCTAACTTAAAAGTGAAGTAAATTATATTTAATGAAACAATACAATTTAAAAAGGTAAATTAATTACATTCTAAACAACAACAAAAAAAAAACAATCTTTTTAAAAATAAGCAATTTTGCAAAATGTGACAATAGTAAATGATTAGGTTGACTAATTTTAAGAATATAAAACACAGCGATTAATTGAACTTAAGCTTAGATAGAATCTCACATCCAAAAGAGGCATAACCTACCAAAACCCAAAATAACTCCAAATCTCTAAGCCTTTCACTTATCCCAAAGCAAATCACATGCTAATACACTGTTAATTTTTCCTAAATCTCACATTAAATGCACCTAATCTCACCGGAAAACACCTCATCCTCGCCGGAAAACTCCCGGCGTTTCGTCGGAGAAATATCAATCTCAATCATATTCTCTTCCTCAAACTGAAATTCCAAATCTTTCTTCTTACAACCATCAAGTGATATCTCAATCAACTCTTCTCTATCTTCTTCATCATCCCAGATAAAACCCCCCTCCTCCGGCGATTCCCAGTTTTCCATTGCCGGAAAATCATTCTCCGACGAACTATCCGAATCAGACTCCGGATAATAACATGACAAAGTAGGGTACCTCAAAACTCCAGCAGTAGAACTCTCCTCTGTTTCTTCACCTTCATATATAACCTCCAATGGCGCCTTCACGTTCCATTCAACGAAAGAATCGTCAAGAAACGAACTTGATTCAAAACCCATTTCAAATTTCAAATTTTCTTCAGAATTCCTCAATACCCATTTTTGAATTTGATCAAAAGAATCGATTTTCACCTGTCCCTCTGTTTTCCCCTGTTTCTCATCTCTGTTTTCTTCATTGGTAACAGAATCTGTTTTTTCCAAATTTTCTTTTTCTTCACTGTTAGATCTCTGAGTTGCACCAAAACGAAGAACAATCAGCAAGATAATCCAGGTGAGAATCAAAACAGGTGAGAAAACTATCTTGCGGAAAAATTGAGGCAAAAAGATAAGAATCAAAGCACAGAATGTAACAATGCATGAAAACAGAGGATCTGTTCCCCCCATTGAGATTACAATTATTTCAAGTGAATAACTAAGGAGAAAATTAAAGCCATGTGTAGAGAAAGAAAGAGTTTAGAATTTTGATAATAATTGATGAGGAAAGTTAGAAGTTAGAATGGTGAAAGGGATTTGGACAGAGTGTTAATGTGGGGTTTAGAGGAAAAGGCATGGGATAAAAGGGATGGTCCTGTTTTATGCAATAACCAAGACAATCTTTAGGAAAATCTACAAATTCAAACCTAAAAAGTTGTTATGCTTTTAAGCTTTGTATCAAATTCATTGTTTTGTAGTAGAAATTTTAGGTTTTAATTCATGGAATCTAATCGATTTTACATTAGTTAATCTAATTAAGAGTATACATTGATTATTGATATGAAGCCCATGTGGCTTTAAGTTGTTGATAAATTTTGGTTATTATATCATAGAATGTGAACTTCACCTTGAACCACATGAGATGCTGAGTGGATGGTCCATTTAGGTTAGTTGGTTTATGAGTTATCAGAAAAAAGAAATTGAGTAACTATATATGGAAGCTGGAAAGTTTGGTAGACCCACTAGAAAGTTTGGTAGACCCACTTGAATTATGTCATTAGCTTATGTGAGGGGTACTCTCATGTGTGTTTTTGAAAATGGAAATAGATTATGTAAGTTATTCTTTCTAAAGAATGGAAAAACTTATTTAGGCTATTCTTTTTAAAGAATTTGAGTTTATTTGGATATAAAGTAAATTTCTAATTATAAAAATTAGTATTTTTAAAATTTGGAGAGTTGAAATAAAAATTAGTCAAATTGAACCCAACACTTACTTGCGTTGCATGAGAAAGTTTGTTATAATTTAATTTATTTGAAGAAAGAAACAATGTAACATATTATATCATATTATACCTTCTAACTATCTCATATTTATGAAACTTATACTCGTTGTCTGAATCCTAAATTCTCGCTGTCGTCGCTCACAGTGGCTTTCACTTGCTTTCCAATTTTGCTGGTTATTATGTGGGTTGATCTCTAAGCCTTTTAATTTTCTATGGATCTCTGTGACCTCTTTTCTGAATTAGCTCAACTTCCGCCGCCTTCAACCCCTTCAGCTCATTCTCCACTGCTTTTCCCCCCTCCACTTTAGAAAACTTTTGCTCAGGTTCTTCATGGTGTATGTGACATCCCCACCTCTTAGCTCCCTCAAGCCATTATCAAAGGAGACAAACTTTCTATCACTATTCCGAAAGAGGAATACAAAGCTGACCTACTTGATTGTAAAAACAACCTCCATGGAATGATCATTTGGCCCAAGGGTTCTTCCCCTCTCACTGTTTTATCTCTTATGAATAAATTCTCAGGTTTGTGGTTAGATATCAAAAATTGGGGAGTTCAATCCATTGTCAAAGGCTACTTTGAATTCTCTTTCTCTAGTGTTGAAGATTTGCGAAAAGTCAGAGCTCTAGGTTCTATAAATCTTAACCCAGGTACTCTGAAGCTCTTTGTTTGGTCCAAGGACTTCAACCCATCTGCTCAAAACAATACTTATGTGCGCTTTTTTGGCTTGTCTCAAGAATATTGGAGACCTAGGATATTGTTTGATGTTGCTAGTAGTATGGATAATCCCATTTGCATTGATGCATCTGCGTCTAAATCGAGATTGGACATAACTTTCGGCCAATACATTCATCTTTTAGTCGAAATGGACCTTTCTCTTCCGATTAATCAAAATGTGCTCGTCGAAAGGGAAGGATTCGCCTTTTTTGCAAACACTGAGTATGAGAATTTACCTAAGTTTTGTGCTCATTATCGAAAATCTGGTCATGGTATAAAACCTGCAAGATGTTGAGTAACCTATAACACAAGGATATTTGAAGAAGTTTTCTATGTTATTTTATTAACTGATATTTTGCCTCTTATACAAGAGTAAATGTGACAGTTATAGAGATTCCTAAAACCTCTCCATAAGGCCACTAACATGATATACAAGCCATGATTTTAGGCATGAATAAACTAACAGCATTGACCGAGTTTAGTTGAATAAATAATAACAAATAATTAAATTAAATAACATTAATTTAATCCTCTAACATGCCCTCGCAAGCTGGACGGCCGACGGGAAAGTCCGAGCTTGTTGATGATAAATTCAAACTGGGGACGGTGGAGAGGCTTCGTCAGAACATCGGCGAGCTGGTCGCCAGTGGAAACATGAGTTACTCGGAAAACACCACGTTGCACATTCTCCCGAACAAAGTGATAGGCGATGGCAATGTGTTTCATTCTGGAGTGGAATACAAGATTGGATGAGAGAAAGGTGGCACCCATATTGTCACAATATATGGCAGGTTGATGGATCCTGTGATGGAGCTCTTTGAGGAGAGACATGAGCCAAAGAACTTCGGATACAGTGTCTGTGAGGGCTCGGTACTCGGATTCTATGGAGGAACGAGCCACATCTCTTTGCTTTTTGGAGCCCCAAGAGATAGGGGTGGAACCGAGATAAATTATGAATCCAGTTGTGGAGACGTAAGTGTCCATGTCACCAGCCCAGTCGGCGTCGGAAAAGGCATGTAATGTTGTGGATGGGCTGGGAGAAACAACGATGCCCCTGTCGATAGTTATGACAAGGTATTGAAGCAACCGTTTGAGAGCAACCCAGTGAGATGATGTGGGATGTTGCATAAATTAGGACAGTCTATTGACTGCATATGCAACATCAGGACGGGTTAAGCTTAGGTATTGCAAGCTGCCGACGATACAACGATAATCGGTGGGTGAGGGAAGTGGTTCACCTTCTGTTTTGAGTATGGGAGTTGATGCAGAGAGTGGTGTTGTGACTGGTTTGGCATCCTCCATGCCAACTTTGATGAGCACATCACTGATATATTTTCTTTGAGACAAAAAGAGGCCACCAGAGTGATGTGGGATTACTTCAATACCCAGGAAATATGATAAGGTGCCTAAATCCTTGAGAGAGAATTGTGCAGCAAGGCGTTGAACAAGTTGGGTCACGGCTGTGTCGGTGTTTCCGGTGACGATAATATCATCCACATATACCAATAATACAAGAAAGATTGACTCACTAGAATGGATGAAAAGTGACGCATCTGCCGCAGAGGTTACAAAACCAATTTTGAGTAAAAAGGAGCGGAGTTCAGTGTACCACGCCCGCGGTGCCTGTCGAAGACCATACAGAGCTTTGTTGAGTCGGCAGACATGGTTGGGATGAGATGGATCTGTGAAGCCTGGTGGTTGGCATACGTACACTTGAAGTGTTTAGTTATTGGCATGTATTTTTGGTAAAACCAGGTGTGTGAATGTCATGACTGATGTCATAACATTCTGGGTTATTAGGTACTTTATGCAGAAAAAGAATGGCATACAGAAGCTGCTATTTATGAGTGTGTATCTGAGCATTTTGCAATGATCACATTTATTACTTTCTACCAAAATCAGTAAACAGGATTTCTGTTGTCATAACAAATGTTAAGACATCTTGTACTGATCTAACAGTTATGCAGTTTGGTTAATTCTGAGATTTTTCAGGAATTTGGTTCATACATTCCAGAACAGAATCTCACGTGGACTTTAGGTTAACTGAGCTCAACCCTAATCTAGTTGATAAAGTCTTGTGACCAAGTCTTGAGGTTAACCCTAATTAACCCTAGCTTTTCGTGGAAGCCCTAACTGAAGAAACAGCTGCATATATATTCAACAGGAAAGCTGTTGGAAAATCAACTCTTTGACAGAAGATCAATTAGGGGCTGTATAGTTCTTAAAATCATTGGACAAAAAGGCTTGGAGAGCTGCTGACAAAGGATGGAACCATCCCACCATAACTGAGAAAGATGGGACAATCAATCTGAAGCCTGAGGAAGAATGGAGCAAAGAAGAAGATGAGTTAGCCCTGGGTAATTCCAAAGCATTAAATGCCTTGTTCAATGGAGTTGATAGAAACATATTCAGACTAGTACATCAATGTGAACTGGCCAAGGAAGTTTTGGATACTCTCAAAACTACCCATGAGGGCACATCCAAAGTAAAAATGTCAAGGCTTCAGATGCTGACTACCAAATTTGAGAACCTAAGGATGATGGAAGATGAAACCATTCATGAGTTTCACATGAACATCTTGGAGATTGCCAACACCTCAGGAGCATTGGGAGAAAAGATGTCAGAAGAAAAACTGGTGAGAAAGATTCTCAGATCCTTGCCTAAAATATTTGCAATGAAGGTAACTGCTATAGAGGAAGCCCAGGATATCAGCAAGTTGAAGGTGGATGAACTCATTGGGTCTCTTCAGACTTTTGAGATGGGGATCAGTGATAATGTTGACAAGAAAAACAAGAGCATAGCACTTGTATCCAACACTGAAGATGAAAACAAGGAGGATGAAGAAGAAAATATTTCAGAAGCTATAGCCATGCTTGGAAGACAATTCAACAAACTCATCAAGAGAATGGATCCAAAGTCAAGGTCAAATGTTAAGAACATTCCTTCTGACATTAACAGATCTTATGACTCCAGCAGAAGACCAAAGTCTGAAGAGAAGGGAAATCAAAGTAGAGGAATTCAATGCCATGGATGTGAAGGATATGGGCACATTCGAGCTGAATGTCCTACCTTTCTTAAGAAACAAAAGAAAGGAATGTCTGTTACCTGGTCTGGCTGTGATTCAGAAAGTAACTCTGAAGAAGAATCTGCCAAACCAGTTACTGCACTAACTGGTGTTTGTTCCTCTGAAAGTGACACTAGTGATGAGGAAGTGACATTTGAAGAACTGGCTGATACCTACAAGAAATTATGTATCAGAAGTGTTGAAGTCTGTCAGCAAAATGAGAGACAAACTAAACTCATAATAAAGTTGGAGGCTGAGAAAAGGGCAGACATTGAAACTATAAGTCATCTAGAAGGGGAAGTTCAAATGCTGAACTCAAAACTGAACCAGATGACCAAATCTGTCAAGATGCTGACAAATGGAACTGACAAATTGGAAGAAATCCTTCAGGTTGGACAAAATGTGAGTA